AAATGGAAGGGACATTCCCGTTTTCTCTTCTCTCTTTCTTTCTGGCTATAAAGCAGATGGGATGGCTGAAGGTAGAGCGAGCCTCTTGGACCACATAGTGAACTTGAGCTTCAGACCCTGTCACTGCAGAGTGATGGCCTACGCAGGCTTCCAAGTGAGAGAGCAATCATCTTTCTCATTTAAGTCACTGTTACTTTGAGTTTCCTCTCTTAGAGTTGAGTCTAATTCTAGGTAATAAGTACTCCCCTCAGCTTTTCTTCAGGCAACGAAAGAAAAGAAAGAACACAAAAGACTCAGCCTAAAAGTGAATGTCTAAGAGGAAGACAAGTCTCAGAGCAATGTGGAAAAGATAATAAATAAAAATTTGACTGGGCATCATGCCTGTAATACCAGCACTTTGGAAAGCTGAGGCAGGAGGATGACTTGAGCCCTGGAATTCAAGACCAGCCTGGGCAACATAGTGAGACCCCATCTCTACAAAAAATTGTTTTAAATTATCCAGGCAAGGTGGCAAGTGTCTGTAGTCCTAGTCTTAGCTACTTGGGGAGGCTGAGGCAGGAGTATATAAATATATATATATATATATATATATATATTTCCTATTGATTCTGTTTCTCTGGAGATCCCCACCTAACACACAATGCTAAGTAAAAAAATAAACACCGCAATGCATTATTTGAAAAATTAATTAGGCTGGGTGTGGTGGCTCATGCCTGTAATCCCAGCACTCTGGGAGGCTGAGGCAGGAGGATTGCTTGAGCTTAGGAGTTCGAGACCAGCCTGAGCAAGCAAGCAAGCAAGCAAGAGTGAGACCCTATCTCTACTAAAAATAGAAATAATTAGCTGGGCATGGTGGCATGTGCCAGTAGTCCCAGCTACTTGGGAGGCTCAGGCAGGAGGATCACTTGAGCCCAGGAGTTTGAGGTTGCTGTGAGCTAGGCTGATACCACAGCACTCTAACCCAGGCAAGACTCTGTTTAAAAAAATAATAATAATAATTAGAAAGCAAGGAATAGAACAGACATGGCTGAAAACTAAATTAATAACATGAAGTAAAAGCTTGTGATCATCACAGAGAATGAAGAGGAAAAAGATAAAAGTATTTAAATATTAGGAAACAAATTAGGTATATAACAGACAGCAATAGTCTAGCGTCATAATGATTGGTATCCAGAATCAGAGACCATAATAAATGGAAAAGAAATGATATTCAAAGATATGACAGAAGAAAAATTTGTTGAAACAATGAAAGAAATAAATTTGCATATTGAATGAGGCTACTGTGTTCTAGGACAAATTGTTTAAGAATAATAAAAACAAATATGTATCCTAGTTAAGTACTACATTTTAAAGCAAAGAAATAATTTTTTAAGCTTCCAGCCCTTCTCCCAAAAAAAGAGAAACTACCTACAAAAGAGAAAAATGGGGCTGATGTCAAGGTTTTACACATCAGTAGAAGCTTACAAAATTCTGAGAATGAAAAGAATTTGATTCAGAATGATACACTTAAAAAAAAAAAGAATGATATACCTAATCAAATTGCCTTTAAGTATAAAGGAAATGACAAACATTTTGCAGATGTTAGAACTCAATGGATATAAAACTCATGAGCCCTTGATAAAATAAAGACTCTTTGATGATAAAATAAAGGTAATTCAGAAATGAGTCAAAATACAGGAGCATGAATCAAGTGTCATTCTCAAAGTGTGGTCCCTGGATCAGCACCATCAGCATCACCTGGAACTTGTTAGAAATGTAAATTTGGGGGCCACTACTCCAGAACTACTGTATCAGATACTCTGGGGTGAGGTCTAGCAATTTGTATTTTTTCAAGCTAGCCATCCAGGTGATTCTGATGCAGTTGGATTCTGATAAAGTTTGAGACACACTGCAATAGAAACTCTGGCTAAAGAATAGGTTATAGGCATTTAATCTATTTAAATAGAAAAGGAAGTCTAAACAACTTGAGGAAAATTAGGTTAAAGAAAATGACAAAAATTCAAAAAGAGACATTAAAAATATATATAACTAGCAAAAATTAGGAGTTAGGAGCATGGGAAAGGAAGTCTAAGTTACCAGCTTTTTATCTTTTATAGTGCAGAGTCAATAGCATACAAATTTTATCACTAAAGGCACAGTGGCTCACGCCTATAATTTCAGCACTTTGGAAGGCCAAGGCAAGAGAATTGCTTGAGTCCAGGAGTTTGAGACCAGCCTGAGCGAGAAAGCAAGACCTCATCTCTACAAAAATTAGAAAAATTAGCCAGGCAAGGTGGTGCATGCCTATAGTCCCAGCTACTCAGGAAGCTGAGGCAGGAGGGTCACTTGAGCCCAGGAGTTGAGATTGTAGGGAGCTATCTATGATGGCATCGCTGCACTCCAGCCTAGGTGACAGAGCAAGACCCTGTCTAAATAAATATATATACACATATATTTTATCACTAATGAGGGATTTGGTCTATTATATAAATTTATAAAAGGTTACTGTTAGAAGATCTGAAAGTAAACAACAAGGCTTCCAAGTTTCAAAAAGAAAAGTACTTACTCAAAGCAAAGGAAACAGAAATTATTAAGTAAAACAAAGAGTATATTAAAAATATAAAATATGATATGATGAAAAATTAATATAAAATATGTGACATGAATAAATATAAAATATTAAATATATATTAGAAGAAAAAGAATCAGATTAGGTAAAAAAAATTAATGCCATATATAAGAGCATAGAAACAAAGCTATTCAGAAAGATGAAAGAAAAAGGTAGATCAATACATCCCAAGGCAATTAAAGCAAAAAAGAGAGCTGATACCAAGATCAGTCAAGGATGACTTCAAAGCAAAAAGAAAAAAAGTTGAAAATGATAAAGAGGTGAATTGTATGATGCTAAAGGAGTGATTTATGCCTGCCATAAATCTTTATGGATCAACTTGCATATTCTTAAAATACATGAAGAAAAAACTTGCAAATACACAGAGGATGGTGAAAAAAGATAATAATAGTAAGAGACATTAATTCCTTTGGAAACTCAACTCCAGTTCTTCTTTGGAAAATAAATATGCAAAAATACCCAGGAAACAGCAAGATAATGAATATGCAAAAAATACTAACAAAGAAAAGAATTGAAGAAGGTTAGTCCTACCAGAAATTAGCATCATTTATAAAACTTCAACCATTAATAGACAAATGGAGTAGATTAAAGAGTCCTGACAAAACCAAAACCAGAGAAGTATTTTTAGATGATAAAAATCTGTGGGACAAGAAATAAATAAATGGTGTCAGTTCAATTGGCTAACCATTTAGGGTAAAAAATAAGTTTCAATTCCTGCCTTATTACAAAATAAATCTGAGACAGAATTTTATGTAAAATACAAAGCAAGTGAAACGTTAGAAAAATTTGTGTGGAAAAAAGTGTGAAAATTTTAAATATATAATGTTGAAGTGGATCTTCTTTCTAAGTGAAGCACAACCTCACAAGCCAAAAAGTAAAAGGCATACACTTAATTAGAGGAAAATACAAGGTTTCTGTTTAGTTAAAAAAAAAAAATTCGAGTAAGTAGAGTTTTTAAAAAACAAGCAATATAACCAGGAAAATATTTGCCACATACATTACCGAAAGGGGCTTATTTCATCAACAGATGTAAAAATTCTTATTCAAAAATAAGTTTGATAAAATCGAGCTTGTGAGCCAAGCACGGTGGCTCACGTCTGTAATCCTAGCACTCTGGGAGGCTGAGGCAGGAGGATCACTTGAGGTGAGGAGTTCGAGACCAGCCTGATCAAGAAAGAGTGAGACCTCATCTTTACTAAAAATAGAAAAATTAGCTGGGTCTCGTGGAGTGCACCTGTAGTCCCAACTACTTGGGAGGTGAGGCAGGAAGATCCCTTGAGCCCAGGAGTTTGAGGTGCAGTGAGCTATGATGATGTAATTGCACTCTACCCGGGGTGACAATGAGACTCTGTCTCAAAAAAAAAAACAAAACAAAAAAAATGAGTTTGTGTGAATAAACATACTACCAACTACTCCTGAAAATCTTTTGTCCTTTTTAAAACATCTTTATTGATATATAGTTGAAATATATAAAATGCACATATTTAAATAATTTGATCAGTTTTACCTGTGCAACCATGACCACATGAAAATAATGAAGATATCTGTTGCTCCAAAGTTTCCTTGTGTCCCTGTGATCTGTCTCTCCCTCACTCCTTTCCCCACCCTCAGTCCCTGGGCAAGCACTGATCTGTTTTTTGGCCCTATAGTTTACATTTTTATAATTTTATATAAATAGAATTATGTAGTGTATACTCTTTTTTGTCTGGCTTCTTTAATTCAGCACAAATATTTTAAGATCCATGAGTGTTGTATGTATCAATAGTTCATTTTTTAAAAATTGTTGATTGATATTCCATTATATGGATATTCTGGTTTGTTTAGCTGTTCACCCGTTGACAGATAATTGGGTTGTTTCCAGTTTGGGGTTATTACAAATGGAGTTTCTATGAACATTGGTATACAAGTCTGGTATGGACACCTGCTTTTTATTTCTCTTGGATAAAAACCTACGGGTGCTATATCCTCATATGGAAAAATATCCAAAATACGCTACTAAATTTAAAAGTTAAATATAGCATGTACACTTTGGTCTCATCCATGTACATTTTTAAAAGATATATAATTTTGTATCTACTTGATCAACAACTTCACAGTTTGGCTGCATTCTAAATGGCTGGCTATTGAAAAGCAATATATTCAATTAAAACAAAGACTGAAGCAGATTACCATTATCAAATGAACTTGTAGCTTACAAGAATAAATCTGAAATTTAATTTAAAAATTCAAATATTAGTTTAAAAATTGCTAGTCTCATTTTTAAATGATACAAATCTGTAAGACAAGAGTAATTATGTAATAAATGAGGTTGTTTCAATTGACTAACCTTGAGGGGAAAAAATAAGTTTCGATTCTCTCTTATTCCAAAATAAATTCAAGACACAATTTCATGTAAAATATAATGCATCCTTCCTTATACTCTTATATTTGACCCACGAGGATAGGACAGAGTGGATAATTCAGAACGTGACTGGATTGCCTGTGGCATCTCCTTTTGTAACTTCCCAGCGTGTCAGGAGGTGGGAGGATGGGAAGGGAAGGGGCGATGGCTCCAGAGCCCCTCCCCAGTGTGACTGGCTTGAAATAGTGAATAAAATTGGCACTCCATTTCTGACAAAGTGTCACTTGGGCTCAAGGAGAAAACAGTACTTTTCAGAGCGTCAGCGAAACTTGTTCAGATTTTACAATGGATCTGCATTTCTCTGTCTGCTGGCTGAAGCGTGATTGTCATGCAAGAATCATCGTCCACTCAACGTCACCAGTTCCTCCTGTAACCCAAATACTAACGCAGCAGCAGTATCTCGCAATGTTTGGGAATGCCGGCAAACACACACTCGCAGCAGGCTGGCCTGGGTGAGGGCCGGAGGGGACGCAGGCGAGAAACAACGCGTGGAGGGAGAAGGACCCGAGACTGCAGGAGCTGAGCACCAGGCAGCGCGTGCAGCTGGAAGAGGAAATAATGTCAGCATTGGAAGACGCGGGCCCCCTCCAACCCTAGAAATTAGAGTCCGCCCCCTTAATGACTGAAGCCCATAGAAAGACGATATTCACAACCAAGCCAGCGGCTGCTGCAAATATGAGGGCCACGTGAGACAGCCAAGCCTGGCAGGTCGGGGACCCAAGGTTCACCGTGGCCCAGCAAGCTTGCGCCTACCTGTTCAAATGTTCCTCTGTCTTCACGTCTTTCTCTTTTTGGTAAAGTCTGGTTTACATGACTGAAAACAAAGTCCTAAAATTTATAAATAATTTACAAATTCTGCTTCCATTGTTCTTGTCCAAAATACAATCTCTTCAGAGCTGGGCAACTCTTAAGTTCATCTGATGAATCTGAAAATCCAACATAAGTGTGTGAACGGTGGTGCCAGGTATGAAAGTATAAACACCACGCCCGTCGTCCCCAGTGGTTAGTCACTAGAGCGTGCTACTGCCTCAGCCCCTCAGCCAGTCAACGAAATCACATATATGCAGACTACCACATGCCTGCCAAGTATGGAAGGACCCTGCAAACCCTGGGCGCTGTATAAATGCAGCCACGTATGGCTAAACGATGGGATACGTTCTGAGAAAGGCATTATTAGGAGATTTGTCGTTGTGCCAACGTCATAGAGTGTACTTACACAAACCTGGACGGCATAGCCTGCTACACAACGAGGCTGTGTGTTCCCGGGCTACACACCTGTACAGCGTGTCACTGTACTGAACACTGCAGGCAACTGTAACACAATGGTTAAGTATCTGTGTAGCTAAACATTAAAAAGATATAGTAAAAATACAATATAAAAGACAAAACTTGGTGGCTTTATATCGGACACTTACTGTGAATGAGCTTGCAGGACTGGAAATTGCTCTGGGGGAGGCAGTGAGTGGGTGGTGAGTGAATGTGAAGGCCTAGGACATTGCCGTGCACTGCTGTAGACTTTACAAACAATGCACATTAGGCTACACTACATTTATGTAAAAGAATGTTTTCTTCAATAATAAATTAACCTTTCCTAACTATAACTTTTTTACTTTATGAACTTTTACATTTTTGTCTGTTTGGCTCTTTTGTTAAAAATAACATCTAACTTAAAATACTAATACTTGTATAACTGTACAAAAATACTGTGTTTCCCCGAAAATAAGACAGGTTCTTATATTTATTTTTCCTCAAGAAGACAACCTAGGGCTTATTTTCAGGGGATGTGTTATTTTTTTAAAGTATGGTACAACAATCTACATTTATTCAAATATAGTTAAGTTGTCTTCTTCTGGAAGGAACATCATCATAGTAAAATGGCAGCCATAGTTTTCCTTCTTCCCCCTGGGGACACACAGTACCTAAAGCGGAGTGTCCTGCTCCTCACTTCACTGAGGAGACTTTTCCCCTCAAAGCCTCAGCTTGCAGCAAGCACAGGGTGGCCGGGACCTGACAGGGGGAGCCGACCTTGTTGGTGGGGCTGCCCGCACTTTTCTGGTCACCTCTGGGATAGTAGCTGTCAGGATGGGGCAGATGAGAAGGGCTGCTCGTCTTCTTTACCTCCCTGGGAGGAAATGCATGGGTTGTGCAGATGCGCTGCGTAGCCACGCCCATCACTAGGTCTTATTTTCGGGGTAGGGCTATATTGTGTAAACGCTTAGAAATCCTGCTAGGGCTTATTTTATGGTTAGGTCTTATTTTCGGGGAAACACGGTATTTTCTTTCTTTATATCCTTATTTTATAAGCTTTTTAAAAAAATCTTTTATTTTTAATTTTCTTTACTTTTTTAAACATTTTTGTTAAAAATTAAGATACAAACACACACATTAGCCTAGGCCTACACAGGGTCAGGATCATCAATATCACTGTCTTCCAGCTTCATTCACATCTTATCCCACTGGAAGGTCTTCAGGGGCAATAACACGCATGGAGCTGTCATCTCCTATGACAACATGCCTTCTTCTGGACACCACCTAAAGGGCCTGCCTGAGGCTGTTTTATAGTTAATTTTTTTTAATAAGTAGAAGAAATACACTCTAAAATAACAATTAAAAAGTATAGCATAGTAAATACATAAACAAGTAACATAGGCATTTGTTATCATTATCAGGTGTTATGTACTGTACATAATTGTTTGTGCTAGACTTTTATAAGCCTGGCAGCCCAGTAGGTTTGTTTATACCAGCATCACCACAAACATGTAATGCATTGTGCTACAACCTTATGGTGGCTATGACGTCACTAGGTGATAGGAATTTTTCAGCTCCATTATAATTTTATGGGACCACTACTGTATATGGAATTTGTCACTGACGGAAATGTTGCTATGCAGGGCATGACTGTATAAGGCATCAGGTGTAGTTTGGTGGTTTCTAAATCTACTCTACGTAAGAATTCCTAGGGAGCACCTGTCCAGCATCCTCCACAGCTCTTTCCCCATTGATTCTGGTTTGATGGGTCAGAACAGGACATTATTTTTTTTTGAGACAGAGTCTCGCTTTGTTACCCAGGCTAGAGTGAGTGCCGTGGCCTCAGCCTAGCTCACGGCAACCTCAAACTCCTGGGCTCAAGCAAGTAGCTGGGACTACAGGCATGCTCCACCATGCCTGGCTAAGTTTTCTATATATATTAGTTGGCCAATTATTTTCTTTCTATTTATAGAGACGAGGTCTCGCTCTTGCTCAGGCTGGTTTTGAACTCCTGACCTCGAGCGATCCTCCTGCCTCAGCCTCCCAGAGTGCTAGGATTACAGGCGTGAGCCACCGCGCCCGGCCTCAGGACTCTATTTCTAACAAGCCCCCTATGTGCTTCTGGTGAGCAAGACATTAGACTGGCTTTTGAGAACCACTGCATGCTGTTGATCACACCCACTGCTCCTGCTGGGATCTGAGAGCCCTCCCCTTCTTCCATCCAAGTAAATCTTATTGTAGCTTCTATTCCCATCTTCTACCCTATCTAGGTCTTCTCCCATGTCATGTTGACCTGCCCTGAAACTTCACAAACACCAAATATAAACTGTCCTTTCCCTAAAAATTATTTGTATGGAGAGCAATTGGTATAAATTGGGCCTAAATTTTAAATTGGAGGGAATATTGGAACGAATTATGAGAGCTATAAGGATACTAGTGAAAAACTTTCAAATTGCTTAAATAGACATTTTGGCGACAGCATTACAAGTTACACAAAAGAAGTCTGTCCGTGCAATTCAGGAGATCTACCCACAAGTTTAAAGGGAACAAAGAACCATGGTAATGACACCATGAGGATGCAGCCATGGGAATCCACACTAAAGGAAGCTCTAGACTTTGCTACCCCAAGTTGCTCCATGCACCAGCAATACCAGCCTCACCGAGGAGCTTGCCAGAAATGAAGCATCTCAGACCCCACTCCACATCTGCTTACTAAAACAGAATCTACTTGTTAACATGATCCCCAGGTGATTTGTGTGTACTTGAAAGTTTGAGAAGCACCACTTTATTGGAGAAGATGCCCAATTTCCCCAACAAATAAAATACAAGAGAAAAAAGAACATACAAATTAAAAAGGACTATGAGATCTATCAACAAGATGTGATGTGTGGACTTTGTTAGGTCCTGATTTGAATAAGCCAGTTGTAAAGAAGAGGCAATGGGGGAAATTTGAACACCAAATATTATTACGTGATGATACTGAGAAGTCACTGTCAATTTCTTAACATCAATTAATGGTATCATGGTTATTTAAAAAGGAGGCGCCTTGACTTTTAGAGATATCTGCTTTAGTGTGTATGGACAAAATGATATCATGTCAGTGATTTGCATCTAAGGAATCCAGTGGTTCATATAAAAGGAGTGAGGAATAGGATGGAAGAAAACTGGGAGGGGCTTATAGATGAAACAAGATTGGCCATGCATTGATTGTTTTTGAAGCTAGGTGATGCCTACATGGGGGTTCATTATATTATTTTGTCTTGGCAATGCAATCCTAGCACAAACTATCTGGAGCAAGGTCAAATTTCACACTTTGAAGGCACAGCCCCCCTACAAGACTTCTCTTCCTTCAGATACCAGATGTAAGCTCCAGAGCTCTTGAGCCACCTCTGCTTCTGACCAACTGACTACAAATTCAGGGATTCCCACTACCCCCTCAGGTCTGAACTCACCAGAGTGACTCACAGAACTCAGGAAAGCACTATACTTAGGATTACAGTTTTGTTATAAAGGATACAAGTCAGGAGAAGTCAAATGAAGAGGTGCATAGAGCAAAGTCTGGGAGGATCTCAAACTCAAACCTTCCGTGTGCTCAGGACCTGTCACCTTTCTGGCACATCCAAGTATGATTACCACCCTGCAAGTTTCCCCTTGCTTCCATGTCCAGTGTTTTTATTGGGGTTTTGTTATTTAGGCATGATTGGTTGAATTATTGGCCATGTGATTGAACTTAATCTCCAGCCCCTCTTGCTCCTGGGAGGTCAGAGATCAGGCTGATATCATGTGGCTCAAAGCCTCAACCCTTTAATCACGTGGCTGGCTTTTCTAGCAAGCTCAGCCCCTATCCTGAGTGACATCATTAGCATAAACTCAGATATAATCTGAGGAAATTATTTTATAGAAATTTGGCCTTCTGCAATTTTTGGAATTGATTCAGTTTGTAGTCATCTCATCTGATACTGGAGCTTGAAGTCCAAAGGGTGGAGAATTGGGAAGGGAAAACAAATGTAAAGTAGGGAAGATCAAGAATAGGCTGGAACCCACAGCATGAACTGTCAGCCAGGAGGACAGATTAAAACTCATGTCAGTTGACATTGCCTCTGGTGTTGACAGTGGAAGCCATCCTCATGGAACTAAACCCACACCCCAAGCCCAGGAGTCAGGAAAGTTGTGGGCGGATCCAGGGGAAGGTAGAGCAGGCCCAGCTTCTACTTCATGCCAATGAGGTGAGTCAGTAGATCAGTAACAATGTGTGTGAGCTACAAAACAGCTGCTGCTTTCCACCTGCCTTCCAAATCTCACAAGAATCTCCCTTGTGACCCACCATAACCAGAAGCACACAAGAAATGAACTATGTGAGAAATGTAGTTCAGCATACCCAAGTCAATATATTACAAGGCCACCACACCACACCTAATAAAAAGTAAACATCTGTCAATTGATCAATCAATCAATCAGTGCTGGGAAGTATTTGTTTAAGGGCCAAGCTTATTTCCCAAAGAAAACTGAGACATACATGGCAAACCCCACCCACCACTGGAAGTATGTTTGCCTTACCACCCATCATTTCTCCTCCCATCTAGATTAAGAAGAGAGATTCTTCCTTCACCTGATCTAGACTCCATCCTTTCATGCTCTCCCAAGAATCATGCTTCATCAATTCTATGTCTCTGGCTTAAAAATCTTCCATTTCAACTCTGTCTTTAGCTTATATTTAAGAAATCTTCTCATGATTCTGTAAATCCATATAGCAAATAACCTGTTGGGAACCGAGGCCTTTGAAGTTCTCAACCCAGAAATACCCTGAGCAGAAAATACCCTGAGTTGCCAAAAAGTGCTTAACGACCGTTCCGGAAAAAACTGCCAGATACTCCAGGCTTGCTGCCTGAG